CCCTTTCAAATACTCCCACACAGTGTTGAATGGTTTCGCAGGCCCCCATGACATGTTGACGAAGCACCTCTGCATTATTAATGTCTGCTGCATAAACCAATTGTTTTAGGTTGCCCCACAGATAAAAATACAAAGGATTGAGGTCAGGGGAATGTGCAGGCCATAGAACTGGTCCTCCCTTATCTTTCCATCTTTCATAGTAGATATCAGCCATTGCATTGTGAAGAATGTGACTAAAATGTCCTGGAGCCCTGTCATGCATGAACTACATGCGTCTTCATATTAGCAGGGGTACATCTTCTAGCAGGTCTGGAAATATGTTCTGTAGACAACTCCTGTAAGACATGCTGGAAGAACATATGGACCTACCAGAGAGTCACCTACAATTCCAGCCCACACATTAATTGTAAATTGATACTGGTGTCTAGCCTGTATTTTATGGAGATTCCGATCTGCCCACAAATATTGAGATTTAGAAGAGATGGAATAACAAATTTACACATTTGTTATTCCATCTCTTCTAAATGTTGCCTCATCCATAAACAAGACTGAAGAGGCAAAAAATGGATTGGTAATTTGTATGATAAACCATCAGCAAAAGTTCTGTGGTGAGGGATCAGAGGGTGAAAGACCTTACACACGTTGCAAATGATACAGGAGCTGCTCTTGAAGTATCCTACTATAAGATGTATGACATGCTAGGGCCACTTGATGTGTGCTGATACCTGGATTGTCTCCAACAGCCTGTAGAATGTGTTCTTCATGGTCAGGCATATGAGCGGATCTCAGTATTCCTTGTCTATAGTTTGTAGCATGGATCCTGTCTCGGCAACATAACGATAAAGAGCAGCAAAGATTGGATGACTCAGCTGCCTTCAGTTTGAAAACACAATCTGATATAGCCATGCAGCCTCATGTCCATTACTATTCATGTGGCCATATGTTAAAATCATATCTGCTTGCTCATAATATGAATATCCCGTCACTGTTAAATGGAACACTTTTTCTTTTTTTTCAAACCGGGATCTCCCCTTACAAGACAGTACAGCCACTAAAACACAAGGGGTTACAGAGTGTGGAGGAATTAAAAACAGAAACATTATTAATGAGGGGAAAGAGAAAAGAGTAATCAGGAGGACAGTAGATAGCGATTGACATTGCATTTAAATTTTTGCAGATTAAAGTTGGCTGGAAGGGAGTTCCACAAATGAGAAGTGTGAGAAAAGAAACTGTTAGCATAGAACTTACAGCTACATCTAGCTAGCTCAACTGTGAATTGATGAGATCTCGATGCCAGTCTAGTACTGTGCTTAACTTCATGAAGACTAGATACCATAGTGAAGAGCTCATCCAAACAATTGACATGAAAGTATTTACAGAAAAGGCACAGTGAAGCAACCTTACGGCAGTGGGAAAGTGACTGAAGACGAGCCACCAGATCAGGACAATAATATTGTTGATTCTTCTTTAGATCTTATCAAGAATCTCTAGGTAAATAGCAGGGGCACCAGAGCATATGTGACAGCAATATTCTAAGCATGGATGAATGGTACACTTATAGATATGTAAGATAGATTCTGGAGAGAAAATTTACCCTGCATTACCTAGCAATGGATTCAATATAGTCTTTCCACTTCATGTCAGCCTGAAAAGGTGCAGTAATTTACTTCCATGGAGGTTAGCATCAACCATGCAGGCTGAGAGGAGTCTCTCAGATGATTAATGGAGAGGTTTAGTTTTGGAGGCATTAAAATTAACAAGCCATCTTTTGCCCCAGTTAACAACTGACTGGAAGTCATTTTGGGCATTGACTGCCATTTTGACCTTGTCAGACTGATCAGCCTTACTATTGAGACAGGAGTAAATGGTTGTTGTCAGTGTACATGTCAAGTTGAGAGCTGATGTCATTGAGAAGGTCATTAATGAAAATTCAAAACAGAGTAGGACCAAAGATAGAGCCATGGGGGACACCTGCATTAGTATGAAAGGCTGTAGATAAGTAGCCATTCAGGGTAACTTCATTTTTCAATTTAATAGGAAAGACTGGATCAGTTCAAAAATGTGTATGGTGACACCATAAATTTTCAGCTTGTGAAGAAGACCTGAATGCCAAACCCTGTCAAATGCTTTTGAGATGTCCAAAGCTACAGCCCTGTTTTTATCTACAGCATGACAGACTCTTTCTGCAATTATCATCAGTACATCAGTTGACCTGGAGAAATGAAAGCCATATTGCTTGTCTGAGAAAAGACCCTGTGCTGAGAGATGCTGAACGAATTCAGCATTGATTAGGGCCTCTAGGAATTTCCCCAAAAGAGGTAGAAGTCTAATTGGCTGATAGTTGGAAAGGTCAGACGGTTCACCAGAGTTCTTAAAAACTGGAACAACAGATGATGACTTCCAGCAGGCAGGAAAGCAGGAGACAGTGAGGCATTTATTATACAGTTTAGAGAGAACAGGAGCCAGTTCAGGAGCATACTTCTTTATGACTATTACAGGGATACCATTGGATCCACATGCCTTGTAGGGATCTAAGTTAGAGATGATAGACAAAACCATGGAAGGGGTTATATACATATCACTCGACAGATATTCAGTTCTAAGTGGGAAGTTCAGCATGGATACTCCAGATGAGTCAAGGGTAGAGTTCGAGGAGAATTTGCAGACAAAGCAGAGGATAACACCTTAAATTGATTGCTCTTATTTAATACCCTATTACAGTACTGCCAGTAATCACAAGAGCCAAAGTTGTTGGAGGCTATGCAATGCTCCATTCTCTTAGCAAACAGGGACTTAGCTCCTTTGAGGACTTGCTTACATTTATAACAAGCAGTAACAAACAGGCACCTGTTGTGACAAGAGCTGTCATGCTGGTATAGCCAAAAATAGTGGTTCCTGTATGCTATAGTAGCTGAACATGCTGGTGTGAACCTTAGGGGAAGATTGGGGTTCACCTAGTGTTTCTGAGAAGGAATGAAATTGTCTATGCTGGCTTTGACCCAGGAAGAAAACTCAGTGGTGCAATTTTCAATTGGGAGGTTAAAGTTGTCAGTCCAAGTGGTGTCACAAAGAAATTTACAAAGTGAGTCCCAATCAGCTTGCTGGTAATGGAAAGAGGTCTTATGGATAGGGCGTTTCCGTTTAATGAATGATTGGAATGAAATATCAATGGTTACCACGGAGTGATCCAAGTTACCAAGTTGTGAAGCTTGGCAAGAGTGAGGAGATGAGAAATAAATCAAGTAGAGATGCCTGTTGCTTTGCTAGGGAAGTCTATGATTTGAGTAAGGGATTGAGTAATGGAAAAAAATTAATGTCTGAATACTAGCAACATCAGTACCTTTAGAATTTTTCAGTCATGGTGAGCATTAAAGTCAACAAAGACAAAGATGTTTGCAGATGAATGGAGAGAAAATGCCTTTTCTATTTTGTCAGCTGTTATGTCTAATGTACTGCAGTTCTGGGAGAAAGGGAAGCAGTAAAGGAAAAAAGAGATAGCTAACAGAATTTAGTAATGAAAGGCGGAAGCACATGAAAGAGTAGTCATTGGCCAAGATATGTTGTGAATGTTCCAAGAGAAAAGATTCTATGCAGAAGTTGGAATGGATATCCTGAGTATTGGAGAAAGAAAGGGAGAGGTTGGTAGGTGTTTTTTTTCTTCACTGGTTTAGTTGTATTTCTTTTAACTCACTTTTGTCCTTGTTTTGATGTGAGGAAACCACCCCCAAAGTTTGTAAAACTATTTTTGATACATCCTATATAAACACTGACCTGAGAAGCAGTGAGGGCTCCCTTTCTTAGATCCACATGAGAATATAGACTGTACATTTGGAAAAGGCTCTTGGGCCACTCACTGGCTGACAGTGATTGACAAATTATGGGATCTGAATAAAATGTAATGTTACATCTGAGAGATTGCCTCTTGTGTTTTCATTTCTTTTTAAACTTTTCTTTATTGTGAAAAGAAATTTTCATTTATTTTCAGGTAAGAACTAGAGTGGCCATTAACAAACAAAATATGAATACTATTTTGGGACAACACTGTTTTTAATTGCTTGAAGGGAGAATCCTACTTAAAATAATTTGTACTTTTTGTAACAACCAACAGGTAGTGCACTGCATAATAAACAAGAGAATATATTCAAGTTGCTGGTGAGAATGGTATGGAGAGTTTGTTGCTTATTTTAATCATACTGAGTTACCAACATATGTACAGTAGGTATAAATTTTATCTACTGTAGTTTTCTACACATTTATTTTCAAATTTATACAAGGGGGTGTTTTTGGCTACGATACATTGGAAATAAGCTTCATTTGAGGATTATTGATGTCTTTGTTGTTTTTTCGACATTTCAACCAATTTCTTCAGTGATCTTCAGTCGAATGTATTATCAAATAAAAAACACTTATTGGTCATGTTCTTGCTCAGGATCCTGTATGGTGCTGTGGGCAGTGTTCTATTGCTATGGTATTTTTTCTTGAGTCATTTTGTTCAGTGCTAGCCTCTTTATGTCCCTACTTAAGTACTAACTCTTCTCCAGCTTTGTCTTTTTTTCTTTTCAACAAATGCAATAGCAATGACACATAACCCACATCTCTAGACCAAAGTAATGGCAAAATAATGTAAGTAAGGTCAACAAGAACCCACACTGGAAAATACATTCACCTGAAAAAAAAGCAGAAAAATAACTAGCACAAATACAAGGGAGTGCTGAAAAGTTCTCAAATTGACGATAAGACGATAAGGGAATTTTAATAATTCTAATGTTTCATCATTTGATCATATTTTGGGTCCAATAACTTTTCAGCACCCCATTGTATTGTTAGAAAAAAAAAAGAAAAAAGGAAACAAACTGAAAATAATCCCTCCTCGACCATTGAACATTAACAATAGCTAATTGCTACAATCAAAATAAAAAAAATGTTAATGTGTTGTTTTGTTTTCCAGGAAATTTATTTTTGTACTGTTTTTATTATTTTAATTTTTTTTTTTTTTCCAGGTGCATTCCAATTCCATTGTTGTGTAAGGATCGGAAAGAGAGGATCCAGGCGATTGGAGAAGCTCTCAGCATTGGGAACTATGATGTGGTTCTACTTCAAGAGGTAAAAATTAAATTTCTCTTTTGCCATCTTTTTCTATGAGCACACATCCTTTTTGAATCCTATTTAAATTTTCTTTCTAATCTAAGCCAATTTCTTTTTTTATAAACAATGCTATAAGCAAAACACATTATTTAAAAAAAAAATTTTTTTTTAATCTTAAAATTCCCAGCATCTCTTGTTTGAGCATGTGTAGTCGCATCAATGTAAACATAAACTTAGCCCAATGAAGTTCTAAAGGATGAAACATCTCACACAAAAACTTTTTCCATTTTGTCATACTTTTTTCCCCTAAAATAAACATGTTATAAAATTTTTCTAATGCTTGTAGTTTCTGGTTGGTAAAACTAAGGAAAACACTGAAAACTAAAGGTTGAGTGAAGAACCGGTTTAATCCCACAAAACATGGATTAATAATACAGTAATAGAGATTAATGTAGTTCAGTGTGGCAATGCATACCATTCAAATGCTACGCCTTGTGACCCACTTTGTGACAACCATTCTTTAAGCAGATTTTTTACTCATAGTAGATGGATGAGTCCATGTTCAACAATTAGTGTAGAGAAGGTCAGATGTCTTTCTACGCAACAAAACAATATTTTAACACTTTCTTCAAATCTTTGCTAAAGTCTTTCATTAGGAAACTATTTCTTATATGCTAATTGTCTGTCGTTTCAACCTCATTGTTATTCTGTCTGTCCAGCAATCCATCTGTTTAGCTATGTATCTCAATAGGTAGATTTTTTTTCTGCTATGCCCTTTCAAATGATCATGTCTCTCTACAGATTTCTTTTCTTTATTATACGTGAATTGCTATGATGTCTTGACAAAGATAGTGGTGCATTTTTTCATTGACTTCTCCATGGTTTTGAATTCAGAATTGTTCTTTGTCTAGACTAGCTGCTACCCAAGGCTACAGAAAACTGTCTACACTGTTATTTAACCCATAGCTGGGGAATAACAACAAATGGATTCATACCTATTCCAAGGGTATTAGTACAAAGTGAACTTAACAGACTAGGTAGGCATTTGAACTTGGCAATTCCACTGCTCATGTCACCACCCACACATCTTTAGGCAATGGCAATATTTTGAAAAGAAAATTTCTGCAATACAAAGTTTTGACAAAGGATAAGAAGTAAAATACTGAACCACTTCTCTCAGCTTTCAAATAATAAATTTAATATTTTAGTGTTTATTTACATTGTGATCAGAAAATCACAAGTAGACATGATTTATGTTATGTGACAAAGGAATAAGTTTGAAGGTGAATAGGAACTACAAAAAAATCTGTTGATAACAATCAGCAACAACTGAAATTTTGGGGATACATATTGAGGAAAGAAGGCTAGGAGAATTTAAAACCCCAGGGCACAGAAGAACCTGAGGAAAGCAGCAGATAGTCTACAAGTATTTGTTAATCAATTGCACCAATATCATTTTATCTTTCCCCTAAACAAAACATTATTTCAACAAAATTCAATATTTCAGCAATTTAACAAGCAAAAATAACAAAATAAAGAAGTATTTACATTGAAATTCCCATTTAAATTTGAAATTCTTTATCAGGAATCATTCTGTTGTTTTATTCACGTTCCTCACTAGATTTCTGTGTGGAAACCTCAATGAAAAAAAAAAAACTGGTGCTTCAAAGAAACTTTCAGGAAGTGATTCACATTTTAGTGGCTGGTTATCTTCTTGCGTGTACCCTGGGGGCTGCCTATCCTCTAACATGTGTCTTTGTAATTGCTTATCCCCTCACGTGTTCTCTTGTAACTGCTTATCCCCTTACATGAGCCCTTGTAGCTGCTTATCCCTTTGCATGTGGCTTTGTGGTGGCTTATCCTCTCATGTGTACCTCTATAGTTATTTATCCCCTTGCATTGGCCCTTGTGGATACCTATCCCCTCATGTCTGCCTTTATGACTGCTGATCCCTTTACATACACCCTTGTAGCTATTTATCCCCTTGCACATTGCCTTGTAGCAGCTTATCTCCTTGCATGTGCCCTTCTTGTTAATCTCTTTCTTTTTTTGTATTAAAATCACTTTAAAACATTTAAAAGATATATATATATATATATATATATATATATATATATATATATATATATATATATGTTACAGTTTCATAATACTAATGCCCTGTTATCATAAATGTAAATTATCATGATTTAAAATCTTTTTTTTTTTCTCAATTTTATTTTATTTTATTTTTTCTAATAACTGCAGGATGTTATGTATAGAAAAGTCAAAGCTTTAATGCAAAGATGAAACATTATATAACTTGTTTACTTGTATCAAAAAATTGTATAATTGCATTGGTTATGTTTTTTGCATACATAATTAAGTCTTTTTACTTATACAGTTATTTTTATTGTTATACAGTCATCTTTTTATTTATATGGTTATCTTTATAGTCTGTCTATATTTCTGAGATGAGGTATTATGTACAGTATTTACATTAGTCGGACTATTGTCCTCATCTTTGTCGCCATATTTGTCACAATGTTTCGGCCGTTGTACGCTTCGGCCTTCCTCAGAAGGTTAGATCCAGTGACAGACCCAAAGAAGGTGAGTTCAATACCTGGTTAAGGCAGTGGAGAACTTTCAGAGGGAAAATTAGCAGGAGATAACTGATAACTGACATCCATCAAACATGGCACGTGGAACTAGAACAGTCTACCCCAGTGATCGAAATAAAGGGTTCAGTTCGAAATTCCAATCACCTGAAGAAGGCTGGAGCGTACAACGGACGAAACATTGTAACAAATATGGCGACAAAGATGAGGACAATAGTCCGACTAATGTAAATACTGGTTATCTTTATTGTTCTGTATAAGAAAGAGTTATTTTTTTTTTCAAATCATTAAAAATCTCCAAAGAATGTTGGTATTTACCTGATCTCTCTACTAAGGCAGGATGTGATATAAGGTAAGTTTTATGTGGGTGCCCATACACATGCATATGGACCAAGGACAAAAATTGCAGAGTCCCTGTAGCCATCATCAAGCTGGCTTTGATATTACACAGACCACCGCCTTTCTTAGTGTTATAAGGAAGGTGCTGTGACAGGGTTGGAATACTCCAGAACGAGATGAGGAGAGAACAGATACTGCACTTTGAGAATGTTAAAACAAAATAATAATGCAAAACAGTATATTAGAAAACTGATTTTCCTATTCTGCTGTTATGGTAAAAAAATGTTTGCTTATTGTTATTGAGGAATTAATATTTAAGAAACTGTGGTTGTGTTTGCTTCCTTTTTTATGGATGAATGAACATTGCTAGTGAACCGGAAGTTATCTGGGATTGGACCATAAATTGCCAAGAGGAGTCGCTATGTGTGGTCAGGAGGTTGGAAAAATTGTAGCTAACGAAAGGTACACAAGTTGATACCTGATCAGTATTAGTTGGGTCACCGTAGAGAGGTGGTATGATGTTGAAAGGCCTGAAACCCCTAATGAACCTCAGCTAGAAACATCACTGATGATGTGTACCAAAGCATCCAATAGATGTATTTTATGAAATTATTTCAAATTACAGTAAATGTAGCACAAGGTCAAAATGGAGAGAGCACAGTCTTCACTAGTCCTATCTTTAATCTGACTAGTTTCAATCATTGACATATCCTTTATTAAGAAATGCCTCCGTTTAATAATGGAATATCTCATTGCTAAGAATGGACAATCAGGATGTGTTAGCAATAAATAATGTTTTATCAAATACCTATTTATTATCTGCTTCGTGATTCTTGTTATAAAATTCTTTATTTTATCAGACAAAAAAAAGTTCCATTCACCTTTTTCCTTTCATAGATTTGGTCAACATCAGATTACGATTTTCTATCACAAGTGACAGCAACAAGTCTGCCCCATTCTCATTATTTCCACAGGTGAGTACCTCTTTAAATGAATTTATGCAGATGATGTAATTCATAAAATTAAAAAAAAAAGTGGAACCCGGAAATATAAAAAAAAAAAAAATTGAGCACATAATGAGTAGTCTTTTTCAATGGAACATTCATATTTGTGATTTGGTAGACTCCTTTCTATTGGTTGACTTCTGTCCAGAGTTTGCTAAGATCTTTATATCAGGAAAGTTTTTGTTTAGGATTTGATGGACTCCCATTTACTGGCTGATTTCTGATTTCTATTTGTGTAGCAATGCATTGTTATAGGGACAATATGGGTAATTTAAGGTCATTTTTCGACTGGAACAGTTGCATCATTGATTTGATAGTACCTATTATTTTTGTATTTTTTATTTTTATTTTTTTTTTGAGAATTTTAATAAAACTTCTACCAATTAAATATTCATATCTACTCCTTGATTAAATTTCTTTTACTGAAACTTTTACATAAATCGATACATTTTTTTTATATACTCTTTTACTGGGTCCTTCAAATCAATGTTTTTTTATACAATTTCTTTTACTAAAACCATCTTATCCATGATTTTTTATATAATTACTTTTATTGGAACCTTCTATTCCATGATTTTTATAATTTCTTAGACTGGAAACTTTATCTTTGATTTTTTTTTTTTTTTTTTTATATAATTTCTTATCCATGATTTTTATCTAATTTCTTCTGCTAGAACCTTTTTATCCAGTTTTTTTCTATAATTACTTCTGCTGGAACATTTTTATCCATGATTTTCATATAATTTTTCTTTTACTAGAACTTTTTTATCCATGATTTTTATATAATTTCTTTTACTAGATCTTTCTGATTCATGATTTTTATAGAATTTTTGCTACTGGTACCTTCTGATCCATGATTTTTATGTAATTTCTTTTTCTAGATTTGTCTTATCCATGATTTTTATATAATTTCTATTGGTGGAAATTACTTTTTCATGATTTTTACAATTTCTTATACTAGATCCTTCTTATCCATAATTTTCTTCTGCTTGAACATTATCCATTATTTTTATGTAATTTCATTTACTAGATCCTTCTTATCCATGATTTTTATACAGTTTCTTTTGCTGTTACCTTCTTATCCATGATTTCTATATGATTTCTTATACTTAGGTACTTTTTCCATGGTTTTTATGTAATTTCTTTTACTGGAACCTATTTATCCATGATTTTTTTTAATGGAACATTCTAATCCGTGATTATAATCTTTTACTAGATCATTCTTCTCCATTATCTTTATATAATTTTTTCTACTGGAATATTCGTTTTCATAATTTTTTCTTGTCATCAAACCTTCATATGATTTTCATAATTTCTTTTACTGGAACCACCTTATCAAGGATTTTTTGTAATGGAACCATCTTACCTATGATTTTCTTTTACTGGATCATTATTATCTATTATTTTTATATCATTTCTTTTAGTGGATCATTATTTTTAAGAATCCATTATTTTTATATAATTTTTTTAACTGGAAACTACCCATGATTTTTATATAATTTTTTTACAATTTCTTGTAATGGAACCATTACATGATTTTTATGATTTCTTTCACTGGAACATTGTTATCCATGATGTTTTGTCATGGAACCTTATCTTTGATTTCATATAATTTCTTCTACTGGATCATTCTTATCGATTATTTTTATGTAATTTCTTTTACTAGATCCTTCTTTTCCATGATTTTTATCAAATTTCTTTCACCAGAACCTTCTCATCCGTGATTTTTATATAATTTCTTTTTCTTGAACATTCTTATCCATGATTTTCATATTTCTTTTGCTGGAATTTTCTTATCCTTGATTTGGATATAATATCTTCTGCAGGAACCTTCTTATCCATGATTTTTTTTTATATAATTTCTTTTACTAGTCCTTTTTATCCATGATTTTATAACTTTTTCTGGAACTTTCTTATCCATGATTCTTGTATAATTCTTTTGCTGGAACTTGTTATCCATGATTTTTATGTAATTTCTCTTTTCTGTTATCCATGACTTATATAATTTGTTTTACTGGAACCTTCTTATCCATGATTTTTTATATAATTTCTTTTAATAGATCCGTTTTAGCCATGATTTTTATATAATTTCTTCAGCTGGAACCTTCTCAGCCATGATTTTCTGTATAATTTGTTTTGCTGGAACCACCTTTTCCATGATTTTTATATAATTTCTCTTTTTGGAATTGACTTATCGTTGTTTTTTTTTTATATAATTTCTTTTACTAGAACCATTTTATCCATGATTTTTATATAATTTTTTTTACTGGATCATTCTTATTCATTATTTTTATGGAATTTTTTACTGAATTATTCTCATCTATTATTTTCTTAATTTCTTTTACTGATAAAATTTTAAAAATTTCTCTTACTGGTTGGTATCTTGTTTTTCATGATTTTTACAATTTCTTGGAATGGAACCTTCATATGATTTTTATGATTTCTTTCACTGGAACATTGTTAGCCATGAATTTTTCTAATGGAACTTTCTTACCCATGATTTTTATATAATTTCTTTTACTGGATCATTTTTATCCATGATTTTTATATAATTTCTTCTATTAGAACTTTCTTATCCTTGAGTTTTATAAAATTGTGTTTTTGCTTGAATCTTCTTATCCATGATTTTATATAATTTCTTCAGATGGAACCTTCTCATCCATGATTTTTCTGTGTAATTTTTTTGCTATAACCTCCTTATCCATAATTTTTATATAATTTCTCTTTTTAAAACCTTCTTATCCATAATTTTTATATAATTTCTCTTTTTAAAACCTTCTTATCCATAATTTTTATATAATTTCTCTTTTTAAAACCTTCTTATCCATAATTTTTATATAATTTATTTTACTGGATCATTCTTACCCATCATTTTATATAGTTTCTTTTACTGGAAAGTTAAGATTTTTAAAACTTTTACTGAAAACTTCTTATCTATGATTTTTATATAATTTCTCTTACTGGTACCTTCTTTTCCATTGTTTTTCCAATTTCTTGTAGTGGAACCTTCATACGATTTTTATGATTTCTTTTACAGGAACATTTTTATCCATAAATTCTTTTACTGGATCTTTCTTGTACATTACTTTTATGTTATTTATTTTACTGGATTATTCTTTTTCATCATTTTTTTATAATTTCTTTTACTGGATCATTCTTTTTCATTTTAGCATTATTTTTTTTTACAGGCAACTTATGATTTCTCATACTGAAACTTCTTTTCCATCATTTTTATAATTTCTTGTAATGCCATCTTCATATGATGTTTATAATTTCTTTTACTCAAATCTTGTTATCCATGATTTGTTGTGATGGAACCTACTTATCCATGATTTTTATAATTTCTTTTACTGGATCATTTTTATCTGTTTTTTATTTCTTTTACTGCATCATACTTATCCATTATTTTTATATAATGTCTTTTATTAGAACCTTCGAATTCTTTTTTTATAATGTCTTTATTGCAACCTTTTCATCCATTATTTTTATATAATTTCTTTTACTGGTAACATCTTGTTGTATCCCAGGTTGTTGGGATGAACAAAAAATGAATGAAAATAAAAGACAAGAAAATTTTAATACATAATAAGAAAACTTTTATTTATTTACTGCCTGAGCTGCAGGGATTTGTCTGGAGTTAAACCATGAATTCTTCATGCATGACAGCTTATTACCATGTTTAATTCAGAAGTGCTGCAGTCCAACTTGCAGACAAGGGCCATAAGTCCATTGTATTTTTAGTCATTGTCCCTTTATAGGGGGAACTAAATAAGCACCCTGTTAACACCTATCCTTTTTAACCTTGTGCTCTTATGACTTTTGTCGGATTTAAAGTGGGTATGGCTTACTTCATAGTTGATGGGATTTCCTTGGTGCACTTTTTGCTTGAGTCCTATCTTTCTCCCCTGGGATTACTTGGGAACTTTGTTGAGGCACTTCAAAGGTGTCCAATAGAATGTCCAGTGGTAAAGTGAAGTTTAATTTGGTCTCTGGATGGTATGATGTTCATAATTGGTTTGCATGTTGAACCCAGTCTGAAGACTGCATATCCACGTCATGTGTAACATTTCCAGAGTGATATATAATACATCCTTGGATTCATTTTTCTTTGTCATTGCAGTAATCTTTTGCAAGTACAGGTTCTTCTTGTACATATTTGGAATTCACTGCTCCATGATGATGGTTAACTTGTTCTTCCGTCATCGTCTTCCTTTTTAGGAAATGGTTTGTAGTTGGATGGATGACATTTATGTGTGAACAAACTTTACAGTTCATCAGTGCTTCTGCTGGTGAATTCCCATTAGGTACATTTGGATTGGGAGTAGCAATGAAACTTCTGAGGAATATTTCTAATATTTCTTGTGTTGTTCCCTCCTCTTTGAGTTTGGTGAGTGCTCTCTTAAGGTATCTACAAAACACTCCACTTATCCATTATGGTTGTGGATGAAAAGGTGGTGTCATAATGTGTTGAATAACATTCTGTTCACAGAAAGTTGAAAATGCATCTGAAGTGAATGTGATGCCATTATCAGAAACTAGAATCTTTGGGGCTCCAAATCAACTGAAGATTTGTTTTAACTTTACAATTGTTTTATCTGAAGTGATGTGATTCATCTGAAAAGTTTCTGGCCATTTGCTGTAAGCATCAATGAGGATGAAATAATACTGCCCCTTGATGGGTCCAGAAAAGTCAATGTGAAGGTGTGATTCAGGGATAGGCCAGTCTGAACTGAGTTTAGTTTTCCTGGTAGATTCTGTACAGCATCCAAGTCTATCCTGAAAAATATCACTAAACTTATTTTTAAGTTTGTTTGTGAAATGATTTTCAGTATCAGAAACTGACACGTGGTTAAATGTATTGAACACAGATTTGAGAGGAATTTCAGAAAGGTTAAGTTGCACTATCCAGTCAAGACCAATTCAATTCAATTTCAAATTATCTGCGATATAACACACACTGGAAAATATTC